CCCAGCCTTCCACCCACAGGGCCCGCCTACCCAGCTGGTGAGTCCAGGGGAGGTCTGCTCAGAGGGAGCACAGCCCACCCAGCAAGTCCTGAGAGTCTGTCAGGGGATCGAGTGACCCAGATCCTCAAGGATCGGCTTGTGTCCCAGGGGTGCTGGGAGACCCAGTGGCTGAGCTGGTTGTGGGTGGGGTGGTCATAGCAGAGGGAGATGCCGGGTCACAAGCTGAGGATGGGAGCTGAGCTAATGTGTGGAGATGACAGCCCCACCCCTCCTGCCCCATCCTCATCCCAGAAGGCTCTGAGGATTGGTCTCTCCCACCCACAGGGTCAGGCACGCAGATGGGTAAGTGAGGGGCTCTGTGGGGAGGTAGGAACCTCCGTATGGATAGAGGCTGAGCTACAAGGGGTTCAGGCCCCTCTGAAGTTTCTCACTTGGACACGCCCTTCCCCTCTCTGCACCTCAGTGTCTCCAAGTGTGAATGGAAAAAATCCTTGTCCAGAGCTTAGGTTTCCTGTCAGTTCTGACCTTGACTTCCTGCGAGAGGGGCCTCACAGGAAAGCCCCCAGGATGTGATGTTATGGTGACTGTCCCCTCTGTCTCAGTGATGGTGACACTGTACAGGGAGGGACAGGCGGACAAGGGTCCGGGCACCCAGTCCTACCCCTCAGCTCAGGCTCAGCTCAGAGGAGGGAACAGGGTGGATCAGCCCTGGTTCAGTTCCTGGCTCTGCTGCTCCTGCTGTGGGGCTGGGCGGTCCCTTCTCTCCTCTGAGTGTCGGGTTCCTGTCTGCTCATCCCTGGCCCCATCCTGCTCACAGTTGCTGGGAGATCACATGACAGAAAGACCTCACAGAGCCCAGGAAGGCAGAGCCTCCAGCCAAGCCCAACCTTCCTAAGGGGGCATCAGGGTCTGCAGGGTGGGGATGGATGAGGGAGAGACCCAGGGTCCAGCCCACACTTCCCCTCCTGTCCCTGCTGTTCTGGGGTGGGTAATGAGGAAGGACCCTCAACTCCAGATGAGACTTGGATAGGTCCCTGCAGAGGAGGAGCCCATAGCAAGAGCTGCTGTCCACCTGGGAGGTTGGTGGCGGTCTGTGTGAAGACAGCACAGGGAACCCACAGTCCCCGGTTCCAGTACCAGCCCCTCCCCATCCAGGCTGGATGACCTGGGACATGTGATTAACCTCTCTGAGCCTCAGTGAAGTGGGTGGTGGGGTCAGCAATCCCTGGTGCATGACTGTTGTGAGGTGAGAGGATTTAAGGGACAGACTCCCGCATGTGCGTCACATACAGTAGGTGCCCTTTAAATGTTATCATTGGCTCATTCATGATGTCTCCTATGTCCTAGGTCCCCTGAACATCCTGATCGGGGTCTCGGTGGCCTTGGTCTTGCTGCTCTCCATCCTCCTGTTCCTCCTCCTCAGAAACCGATGTCAGAACAAAGACAGGACATCACGTAAGTAGAGAATGCGGTGACCTGCGTCACAGAACGGGGGCTCAGATCACCTGCCACAGGAAAACCAAATAGATGGAGAAGGTCAGCTGAGAAAAGGATTTCTCGAGATTTTGAAATCAGGAAATATAGAAAGAAAACAATCTCGACACAAATACAAGGTC